CTCATCCTATATCCTGCATTCTTGAGCCCACTTTCTGACCTGAAAACAGGCATTCTTTCACAAAGAGGAGACGTTGATAGCGTCTGACCCCACCAAAAATAAGTGTGCACGTGTGTCTTTACTGAAGAGGAAATATCCTAAAATCCTTAAGAAAATTAATTTTGGGAGGGAATGGAAGTAGATTAAACAATATCACATGATTGTCCTGTCATTTAAATACAAAGCAGAGATAAACTCTAATAAAGAAAGTCAGTGACCTTCTAGATTATTCTGTGGGAAAATCCAAGGCACTCTGAAATTCACATTTGTCTTCCTTCTAGCATTGCTGGTCTGTGTCACAAGCCAAAGCAACTACTCCAGATTAAAAAGATCAGAAATTAACTTTAGGCTCCTAATCTTCAGATTTCAATTTTTATCAAGAAAATTATTATACTTCCTTCTATCGTCTTAAAAAACTTTCATTACCTATGGGAGCAGAAACAACAAAGGTCCTAGAACTTCTGAAGGAAAAACTGTAATTCAAGAATGAGAAATCATTTCATAACCTGCTGCCCCTACTCCCCCAATCTAATTTTATCACACACATGCAAAAGGACAGTATCAAGGAAGGAATCACAAACTTTAACAAAATACCAAGGAAAAATGACAAATGAGCAAAGTTGTTGCTGGCAACAACTTAGATAAAATTTGAAAAGGTAACTGCAGTGTTAAAAAAAAAAAAAGAATCATCTTTTCCTATTATTCATATGGTAACTTTGAATGCCAAAATGGGCTCAAAAACAAAAAGATTAAGTCCACAGAACAGTCCTACCTTTTAGTCACTCTATATCCTTAACCTGGTCAGTTGACCCAAGATCTGGGCCTCCCATTCCTGCTGGGCCCACAGAAAATCCCCACCTGGCCCTGTGTGGGATGCTTCACTAATAAACAACATCTAATTTTTATTTAATACTTTGTCAGAAACAGACATAGGCACTGACCCATGAGGCAGTCATGGTCTCAGGTTCTAGTAAAACAGACATGCATTCAAAGCCTACCTTTTCATGTGACTTCAGAGAGCGTACTCAGCACCTCTAAATGTCAGGTTCCCTTACGTATGAAATGGACTAATCACTAATCATCAGAGAAACGAAAATCAAAACCACAGCAAGATGTCATCTCACACTTGTCAGAATGGCTATCATCAAAAAGACAAGTGTTGGTGAGGATGTGGGGAAGAGGGAGTCCTCGTGCACTGTAGATGGGAGTGTAAACTGGTGCAGCCATTGTGGAAAACAGTATGGAGGTTCCTCAAAAAATTAAAAGTACAACTATCATATGATCCAGCAATTCCACTTCTGGGTATTTATCTGAAGAAAAGGAAAACACTAACTTGAAAAGGTATCTGCACCTCCATGTTCACTGCAGCATTAATTACAATAACCAAGACAGGGAAACATCCTAAGTGTCCATGATAGATGAATGGGTAAAGAAAATGTGGTGTGTGTGTACACACATACACACACACACACACACACACACACACACACACACACACAAAATGGAATATTATTCAGTAATGAAAAAAGAAGGAAACCCTGCCATTTGCGACAACATGAATGGGCATTAAGACAGAGAAAGACAAATACTATATGATCTCACTTATATGTGAAATCTAAAACAAAACAAAACAAAACACCAAACTCAAATGCAGAGAACATACTGGTGGTTGTTAGGGGGTAGGGGGTGGTGAAATGGGTGAAGGGAGTCAAAAGGTATAAACTTCCAGTTATGAAATAAATAAGTCCTGGGAATGTAATGTACTGTATGGTGACCACTAACAATAATATACAGTATTGTATACAGATGACCCTTGAACAACATGGGTTTGAACTGTGAGAGTCCACTTCACTTGGATTTTTTTCCCAATAAATACATACTACAGTATTACAGATCCACAGTTGGTTGAATCCAAGGATGTGGAACCTCAGATATGGGAAGGGGAGGGTGCACTGTAAAGTTATATGCAGATTTTCAATGGCACAAAGGGTCGGCACCCCTAATGCCCAAGTTGTCTAACTATATATACATATATCCAACGATTATGTTGTACATCTGAAACTAATATAATGTTATATATAAATTATATCTCAATAAAAAAGAGATGCAATCCACTAAAAACTCAATGCATGTGTTCTGCATCTTTAAGAAGCTATTACATGTTTCATTCAGAAAACATGAATTCATAAACTCTACAATGGCAAAGACAAAGTCCCAAACAAACACGTTTTACCACTGGCACCTCTTGCTTTCTCTGTATGTGGAAGGCCTGGCCACCAAACGATTAGACTTTTTTTCCCAATGTGAAAACGAGCACCATGAAAATAAAAACCACCCAAATGCCCTTCAGTTGGCAAATGTGCAAACAAATTAGTCTATCCATGCAATGGAATACTACTCAGCAACTACAAACGAATGAACCACTGACACCTACAACAACGAAGATGGCTCTCCATTCTGACGAGTGAAAGAATCCAGACACTACCCCACCCACCAAGATAGCACATACTCTAAGATTCCATTTAGATAAAGTCCTAGGAAATGCAAACTTATCTAGAGTGACAGAAAACAGGTGGTTGCCTGGAAGAAAGAGGCCAGAGGGATTACAAAAGGGCAAGAGGAAATTTCTGGGCGTGATGGGTATGTTCATTATCTTGACTGGCGTGTTGGTTTCATGGCTGTATACACGTAAAACACACCAAATTATACACTTTAAACATGTGCAATTTACTGTATGACAACCATACCTCAATAAAGCTGTTTGAAAAAGGGAAAAAGACCATTTAAAAGAAAAACTAACACATCTTCCTGGCTTGGTATATTGTCTTTAAACCACCCTCTTTTTCAAACAGGTATATGTCCTGAAAAGTCATGAAACTACAATACCTTTCCCCTTAAGTGATCTGCATGCATGAACAAAACCTTAATAATCCAAAGACTTAAATATAACAATAGCTAATTAATATTTACATAGCTGTGACTATGTGCCAGGCACTATTTTAAGCATTTTTCTTACATTAACTTATCTGACCCTCATACCAGCACTATTTTAGAGATGAGGAAACTGAGGCACAGAAGGGTTAAGTAATCAGCTCAAGGTCACACAGCTGGTAGTTGGAGGAACTAGGATTTGAACCCAGAGAGTCTGGCTCTAGAGTTCTTTTCTGTACCCACTGTGCTTACTGGCATATACAATATAAGAAACAGTATAGGAAAATCAGAAGCAATGAATATTGCACTTGCAAAATACTTTTCTTCCTCACATTTACAGAATATAAATATCCACTATATTTTGTAGCATACACAAGACTAAATAAAACACAACAGGACCTTCATTCTTCTTTTCCCAATTAATAGATGGAGGACAGAGAGACAGAAAAGCTGGACAACTTGCTTAGGACACAGAATAAATGGCAAGTTGATTGGCTGGTCAAACCAACTAGGAAGTTGGTTTACCACATTCCCAGTCCAACTCTCTTCACTGTCTTCAAATTCCTAATTATTTTAAGTAAATCTGTAAAGGATAAAAACCGAACATACAGCAACGTGGAAAATGTAAAAGTCATTTGCTATTTCTCAAATACCTTACTAGTTCCTGAATTCCAGCCACAGGATCACAACCTCTGACTGATACTGGCCTGGAGTCTTTTTTTAAAGCGCCCCACATGATTTTCATGAGCAGCCAAAGTTGAGAAACCCCAAGACATATTAGATTTAGAGTTCTCATTTTAAAAAGACAGATGAAAGCAAGAGGCCAAAGCAGCTTTGGTAAACTACGGCCCAAAGTTTTCCAAGTTGATATTGAACTACTGAATACCTGTAGGATTTTGGGTTCAACTTTAAATAAATTAAAAATATGCACAAAGTACATGAGATATTATCACAGCAAAAGTTACATTAACAATACACGGGACTGACATTCTCAACCTTTTAGAATGCTAAATTGGTATCTTGACATCAAGCTGATGGATAAAAGCACAGAAAAAACGTGCCGTATGTCCACTGCATTTAAAGCATGGAATAAACTGACCATATATTGTTTCAGAAGCACAAGTTGAAAAGAGTCTTTGTCTTTAGTCCATGCAGGAATCAATGGTCTCTGAACTTAAGGTGCACTTTGTAGGGAAGATTCTGACTCAGTGGGCCTGGGGATGGAGTCAGAATGTGTTTCTAACAAGCTGCCAGGTGATGCGGATGCGGCTGATAGACCACACCTGGAGCAACAAGGCCTTAAGTAACTTGAATATTGGCTGTAAAATAAGGCAGTTGGCCTACAAATGTAGTTATATCTAGGATCCAAGAAATAACTGTCATTACGACTTATTCCTAGTCCGGGGGAAAATAAAAGGAGGAGGGGAATAGAGGAAGGAGCAAGCGAATACTTGTTATTTGTTTGTATAGCGTAGCAGGACTAAGAATCATAGAATACTGTTACTTGCCCCGACCCAGTAGCTGTCAAGGTGACAGAATGTAAGCCCCGTGAGATAAAGGGGTTTTATTTTAATTTACACAAAATCATCACGGCCTAGTACACACTAGGTACTCAACAAATGTATTGAATAAATGAATGAATAAGTATATACAAACACAATCTATATTTATGTCACAACCCAAAAAATGTCTGGGAAGGGGAATCTATCAGTACATATGGGTGTTTAATACAAATACCTGGTCCACTCACTGTACTCCATTTTGTCCCCCCCTCCAAAAAAAAAGAATTTTCCAAACCAACACTTCCACTGTCAAGCCCAGGCTTCCCGCACCCTAATGTTTTGTTTTGTTTTAAAATTTATTTAATTACCCTTATGTTTAAAACAATGGAGAGAGGTGGAAGCACAGGGAGAAGGATTCAGAAAAGGTTCACTAATCAAAGGAAAAAAACAGAGTGGGAGAGGAGATGGGCAAACAGTTTAGTTCAAGGGAAGGAATATCTTAGGCTGTCAGCATTTTCAAGTTCTTACCTATGATGGTGAGAGGGTTTGGGTTCGGGCTTTTATTTGTTTTGTTACTGTCCAGAGTAACTGGTGAAGTAGTACCTGGCTGTGCGGCAGGCTCTCAAGCCAACCTTTAGAAGGTTGGGAATTCGCGTTTCCTGCTTACTTCCCGCTTCCCGGGGCTCCCGGCGCGTAGAGGAACTCTGCCACCGCCCAAACACAAGATGACCTGAGCTGCTTCACTATGGATTTGAAGCCACAACCAGGATTGAAGATGGCGGCGAAATACTAAGCGAGCGGCCCGGGAAGCGCGCGAAATCTGCCCAAAAGAAAAATGGCCTCCGAGCAGGATCTCGCGGTTTTCAACGAGAGCCCAAAACAAAAATGGCGGCAAAAGACGACTACGTAGGGGCCGAGAACGAGGTGAACATGATTGGTCCGTGAAGAATCAGTTACCCACTGTGCTAGACAGCGGGGGTGATCGAGAGAAAAATAAAACGCAGTGTTCCTGTCGTACAGAGTGCTTCTTTTTTTTTTTAAACATCTTTATTGGAGTATAATTGTTTTACAATGGTGTGTTAGTTTCTGCTTTATAACAAAGTGAATCAGTTATACATATATCCCCTTATCTCCTCCGTCTTGCGTCTCCCTCCTACCCTCCCTATCCCACCCCTCTAGGTGGTCACAAAGCACCAAGCTGATCTCCCTGTGCTATGCGGCTGCTTCCCACTAGCTATCTATTTTACATTTGGTAGTATATATAAGTCCACGCCACTCTCTCACTTCGCCCCAGCTTACCCTTCCCCCTCCCCGTGTTCTCAAGTCCATTCACAGAGTGCTTCTTGACCCCGTAAAATTACTAGCACAAGGATGGAAAAAGTCTCCCCAGTCTTTGAACAGGAAGATTATAGAAAACACAGGTTAGAACGTAAAGGTGACTTTCACAATGCCGGATAAATTTTAAAATAGCCAGGAACATAATTTCTCCCACAATTCTTTTGAATAGTACAGGGGAATACAATTTTTGTCCTCGAACGAAAAAGCAGGATGGGGACGTAGTGCGCAAATTATCTAATTGGTGAAGGGCACAGAAACAGAGAAATTCTGAACTCCCCGTAGGCCCCCAGACGGCGGACTAAGGGCAAAAGCTGTTGAGTGCCACCAGCTCGCACTGCGCATGACCGCTCTCCAACACGACCCACAGAAATGGTCGCTGTTGAGTCCTTTTCTCCAGGTTTTCCAGGCAGCCATAAAGGAAGGCGGGGAGTTGGCGATGAACAACGGAATCCGGCGCTCTGTGATTGGTCAAATGAAGGAGGCCCGAGAGCCGCCAAGAACGGTTGATCACTTTTTCGTTCAATAAGTGCCTCTCAGGTGCGCGCCAGAAGGAAGATACTGTGCCTTAACAAGTCCATTTGATCTGTTATTTAAGTTTTTCAGTTTCAATAACTTGCTGAGATTGACACTGAATAAGCTCCACCCCCTGTTCTTTCCGGTCTCAGCCACCGCGTTCTCCGCTGAGAACATCACGAAAACTCGGAGAAGAGGAATCCGAGTGGGACCGGCGCCAACCACAGAGCTGCGCGTGCTCCGTCTCCAGGCTCGGGGCGCGAGTTGCCAGGACTGGTGGCTGCGGCTGCGTGGTGCTCGGCTTCAGGGGCCTGCGGGCGGCGGCTGACGGGGCGGCGCAGCGGCGGGTGCGCAGGTGAGAGTGACGGGGTCGCAGGTGGAAAAGCCGGCACTCTACCCGGCCGAAGAGAGGGGTGGGGGACTTGTGGGCGCCTCCTCCCCGCTCGGAAAGGTCACTGGTGTCACTGAAGGATATTTGGGGGCGGGGAATAGGAGGAGGCTGGTTCCTTAGAAAGCTGAATATCTACCTTTAAAACAGCTGTTGGCAGTGAATCCTTGCTGCAGGAAGGAATGTAGATGGCGAGGAGGTGTTCCAGTGGTGTAGGTAGAGTTCCAGGTATAGACCCTTCTTCCTCTCCCATCTGCGCGGCACCGTAAAGTAGAAGGAAAAGGTGTCCCAGTGAAAGCACCAGTTGCGCCTGCGCTGCCACCTGTGTCTGTCTGGGAGGTGAGAGCCACCCTCTGACGTGGAACTGGATGTCAGAACTCTGTACAGCGTGGTAGTACCAACTCTGAAAGCAGAAGCAGGATTCGGGGCTTTGAAATCTTTTTGAGAGGGAGAACTCCTGAAGTCATATACATCTTCCTCCCAAATTGGACCATCCACAAATCCTGTTGCTGTTTCAGAGGCTCTCTGTACCTGCAGTTTTTCCTTCATTAACGTCATCAGTTTATATTCGTATTTGTCACACTGTGCTGAGTTAGCAGATACAGCAGTGACCAAGACAGGCATGGTCCCTGATCACATGGAGCTTATATTCAATGATGGAAGGGGAAACAGTAAACAAGCACATTGATAAATGAACAAGATGTTTCCAGATTGTCCTAGACTGGGTTCTCTGGGGAGCAGACTCTAAGGAGATTTGTGGGCAGGACATTTATTAGGGAGGACTTTTTGGATCTTACCAAGGAAGAAAGGAAGCAGGATTGGGTGGATAGAAAAAGTTGAGCTGTAGTGTAGTCCCAAGGAGGGTCTCCACCAGTCTCACAGGAAATCCGGTGCTGGGTTGGGCCTTCATAGTTGGCCCAAGTTGGGTGAACCGCCAGGCCTTTGTACCACTGCAGTGACCAGTCATTGGATACCCATTGCCCTGGAAGGAGAGCATAACTTCAACTCTCTTCATCCAGTCAGTCCTGTCTCAGCACTACCAGGAGCTTTAGTCAAACAGGAATCTCCAGAAGTGCCTGTCTTTATATATGATGTGTATTGAAGATACTGTATGTACAGTAATAATAATCACTACCATGCCTTGAATACTTCTCACGTATTAGACACTGAACTAAGCAATAAATACATAGATATATACTTAGGAATCCTCATTATATAGCCCCATGTTACAGACTATGAAATTGAGGCAGGAAAGAAGTAATTTGCCTAAGATCGTAACTTGTGCGGGAGGTTAGAATTTGATTTCCATCGTTACTCAGAGCTTCATCACACTAGGACTCTCATGTTTAATCACTGGCAACTTTAACTTCATTAACTGTTATCAGAGAAATAAATATGAAACTCTCACCCTGTCTTTGCTATTTTGCTCTGTCCTTGAGTTTTCCGGTTTCCTTCATGATTAGCTTTCCTGGCCCTCACTTTAGGAGCCTGAGTGTTATCTTTTCTATAACATCCTGGAATCTGATTACAGATCTACCCTACTGTAATCAAAATAGCCCCGAAGACGTCAGAACCTCTTTCTTGAGAATCTGGGGGTTTTATTCACATCTGGACTAACTGAAACTGCCTATAGTTTATGGACCCAATTGCCTTAGTCATTCCAGACCTCTCTTTCTACACTCAAGGTTGACACCAGTAATGTTATTTTTTAACCTTTTGAAATAATCAAAATAATAGCTAACAGTCACAGGGTCCAGTCTGAGTGCCAGGTATTGTGATAACTGCACAACAGCCTTGTGATGGATGTCAATATTATTCTCATTTTATGGGTGATGGGACTGAGGCATTGTGAGGTTAAGTGACTCATCCAAGGTCACAGCCAGTTGCAAAGTGGTAAGGCAGAGATGGAAAGCCCAGGCAGTAGGATTCCACAACTCATCCCCTTAATCACTACACAACAATACATCCTTACTAAAATAATTTGCTGTGCTTTCCCTTCTGGAACTAGATCCTGGTGGGCTTTTTGTGCTGTACTAAGAAATGTAGGTTTCACCTTCTAGTCAGAAATGTCACTGAAGGCTTCTAAGCAAAGCAGAAACATGAATGTATTTGTTGTTGTTTTCCCCAGGATGGCTGTGTTAAGAGGGTAGAGAATGGATTAGTGGGCAATAGACTCGAACAGTGGTTCTCAGACTTAAGCTTCAGAATTACCTAAAGAATTTGTTAAAACACAGATTGCTGGATCCCAACCTAGAGTTCTGATTCAGTAGGTCAGGAGCAGCCCAAGATTTTGCGTTTCTGATAAATTCCCAGATGATGCTACTGCCTGTGGTGAGGGGACCACACTTTGAGAACCATTGGACTAGAAGCGAGGAGATCATGAGGTAATGAGGGTCTGGACTGTAGCTGTGGGGAGAAATTACATAAAAGAAATGTCATGTCAAATGGAGGATTGAGTGACTGACTTGATGAGGAATATAAGGAACAGGGCAGAGTCCACTATATCCAGATTTTCTAACTGAATGGCATGGTAGATAATGCCTTTTTTATTTTTTATTTATTATTATTATTATTATTTTGATAATGCCTTTTTTTAAGAAACAAAACAGGAAGCAGAGGAGGAACAGCAGTTTGGGAAGGAAAGAGGATTCGTCGTTATATGAGATGAGTTTAGACACTTGTGGGGAATAACAGTGGGATAAGTGGGTTTAAGCTGAAGATGTAGATGTGGGAGTCATTGGTGGATGTGTTAAAACAGAAGCTTTGGATGTGAATGAGGCCACCCAGGAAATGAACATGGGGGGAAGACGGCCCAGGACAGAGCTTTGAGAAGGGGGAGTAGGTGGATGGAAACCAAGGGGTCATTAAAGGAGACTGAGAAGGATCAGACTAGTCTCAGGTACGTAAAGAGTTTTAAGAACTCATCAGAAGTGGTGCAGAGAGATCACGGAGAAAGGGAGAGATGGGCGATCTTTATAGTCAGGGCAGTTTCCATGGAGAGTGGAGCAAAAGCAAATTACTTGGGTTTGAAGATGGAAGTGGGCAGTGGCTCTAGAAACATGCGTTATTTGAAAGGAATCAGAGTGTGTAGTACTGGAAGGAAGGCTGGTAAAGGGCAGCTACATTGGGGAATTTGTTTTTAGTTCTTTTCAATGGAGAAAAATGGTCAGGTTTTGCATAGGAGGAAGACCAATTCCAAGTGGGACGTGGAAGGTAGAAGAGGGGGGTTAATGGAGATGGAACCGTGAAGACAAAGCAGCACGTGGGACCGGCTGGAGCACAGATAACAGAAGTGCCAGGCCTTCCTCTGAGACACTGAGGAAGGAGGTGAAGATGGGAGCTGAGGTGGGCATGTGGGAGCAGGAAGTGGAGGGGCTCCTACCCAGTAGCCACGGTTTCCTCTGGCCAGTAGGTTACCTGCAGAAACGAAGGTAGAGAGTAAAATAGAAGTCTCAGAAATGATGAAGACAGAAACCAACCCATTTGGGATTCAGAGCTGACCAGGGGAACATAAAGTCATTGCTGCAGTACT